GCACTTTTGCTACTTTCCATCGACGTGTCGACCCATCTTAGAGATCCTTCTTCGTGGGTTGACAGGTTTCACCATTAAGGCTTAACGACCTTGCTCCACCTCCACAGGATTTCACACGTTTCATCAGGTAAAGCATGCAAGCCGTAACAGGTGGAACAGTGGAAGTGCAAATGCCCCCCCCCTCCCCTCGTCGCTGAACTGCGCCCTGGCATGATTGTATATAGCACACGTGAAACAGTAAAAAAATTAAAAGTCAGATTTTTCTCCATCGCAGAAAAACGACCCCCTGTCTCCAGCGGCCAAATACTACTTCCGTTGTGTTTTACGTGTGACAAAACAGTGATATGTGTCGGCAAAACCTACATACATTACCGTGCCGTTGCATGGCATCCACGACCTACCCCTGCATGACTGCTAAAACTACCAAACCACAAGGGTCCAAATCGAATATTCAATGAACAAATCGATACCTATTCAATTCAAAAAGGTGCTCGGCTCGGGTCTGAGTGATCAGTCGGATGACGTGCTTTGTCCTGCTCATTGCCAGCCATTCGTACGCAATGTCGATGATTGACGAGTGCACGTCCACACGAGCACATGGTGGAAGATGAATGAGCTGAAGTAAGGTGGATCAGAGGAACACTTAAAATCATTAGGAGCTCTACAGCTCAGTATGGTCAAGAGCTATACAGTTTGGTACCCTTTGCAACGGGACAAGACAATCGTAACACATTCCCCTACTGGGCGTGGCGAGCGACTTCGCGCGCGACAGACGAGTTGCCCTGCCTGGCCTCTTGGATCTGATTATTGAAGTGACAAGAAAATTCGATATCGCCTGGCATGTAGTCTTGTCTCCACTTGTATTCATATGAGCCTCGCTGTTCCAATCATGTTCCGACATAATCACATCGGGACATGTCGCGCGGGATGATGCGACAAATTACGATTGTCTTGACCACCTCCCTTTTGTGCATCACTAATGTGAGCGGATGGTTAGTCCAACGAAGGTATTGGGTGTGCCGGCGGGGAGATGAGGCTTCCGATGGGGCGCCTTCGGTGAAGGGGCGGAAGGTCAGAGCTCAAAACGTGCTAGGAGGTGCGGCCTAGCGCTTCTTTCACCAATGTCGTCTAACTGGAAGCCCTGCCTCCTAGCCAATGCCCGCACTACCTAAACGCTTGGGAAAACGATATTGAAAAAGCTATATGCGACCAAAAATATCGAAATTCTCGGTCAACGTCATGTTGCAGTCTAAGCGCTCCGCAACCGCACGCGCAAGTGATCCACAAATGCACGACCAACAGTACCAGACACTGTCAATATATCAATTCAGGTTCTACAAAGACTATGATGTCGAATGTTCAGTTACTTTTGCCAAACGAGGTTGTTAGATGAAACCTTTAATTGGCCTAACGTTTCGACCTTCTCGTCTTCTTCAGAGGCCTGAAAATGGCTCGAAGCTTTTAATTTGTTACCTACCCGACCAAACGCCCTCCCCACTCTAGCGTTTCCGACCTCGTTTTCAAAACCCCAAACGCTTCCGAACAACCCTGGATGAGTGCTAACAACTGATCACCGTGCGGAGCTTAGCGTGGGGAGGGCGTTTGGCTGGGTAGGTAACAAATCAAAAGCTTCGAGCCATTTTCAGGCCTCTGAAGAAGACGAGAAGGTCGAAACGTTAGGCCAATAAAGGTGTCATCTAAAACCTCGTTTGGCAGAAGTAACTGAATATTCGACATCATGCCGAGATTACAACAAGGGACAACGTGGAGATCACTATGATGTCGATTTCATGAGTATTTCTATCTCCCCCCCCCCCCCCCTTAAAACTGAACACGAATTGAACAGATATCATTTGGAAAATTTTATGGTCTCGAAGAACGTTCTAAGAAGGGGACGTTTTCCACGTGAACGCACCTTTTCACCGCTCTTCTCTGCCACTGTTGTCCTCGGTTCATGTGGGCACAGATAGAGGCTTTGATCAATCAGAACTGCCCAGCACTCGTCCCACGAACGTCGCTTGCCGGTCTTTCCCAATGCCAGCTCCTGAAAATGAAAATCATAATTCTAGTGATCAATTTATGACAACATGGAAGCAGGATTTGCCGACGAAAGTGAAGAAAAGGGAGCCTTATGGCTTTTCCGTGGTGGTATCCATATTTGCACGTGGCAGCGACACAGTGTTTCGCGAGAGACACTTTCCGCGTTTTGCCCATTGTTCGGAGCCACCGCGCGACTGCTGGGCTTGGCTTTGCCATGGCAATGAAACTACCTCACCTTTCGCCACCTTGTCTTAATGTCAACGCTAGTTTCTACCAACCTGATGACGGAGCCATCCTTGTCGAATGAGTTTACTCGCTCGAAGTGTCGTCTCGGGCAGAGGATTCCGGGACAACGGCAACGACGTTCCGCCGAGCGTTTAGTTTCGCAATTTCACGGCCGATGTCCGTGAATTTCTAAATTGGATTAATCTGACATTCTGCAGAGAAGGAGCCATTCTTGAACCGCCGAGCAGCTAAACTAGAAACGGATCAATAAATCAATAACCAATAAACAACCTGATGGCTAAATAGCGCAATGAACTTCTGGATCCGATGATGTCCCTGAGGCTGATTGTGTGATTGAGCGGATCGTGACGATCGATCGATTGATGACAAGGATCCAAGTGATGACAACTCTCTGCAACACCTCGGATGTGATCACATACGATCAATATATCGATTAACACCACGATCAATATATCGATCGGTACCATGGTCAGTATACTAATTGGTACTGCGGCCGATGTATCCATTAGAACGATCAAATATGGATCAGTACCACGATCAATATATCGATTGGTACCATGCAACATATCAATTAGCACTGCGATCAGTGTATCGATTAAAACCATGGTCAATATATCGATTAGTACCACGGACCAATACACGATTATTATATTCACGATCAATAATTGAATAGTACCCGACCTGCCTATCATCACGGTAAATGCGGTCTCGGGTAAACTGGTCGATGTAGCCAGGACATACGATTTTGGACGTGCTCGTCTCATTCTCGTTAACGCTGAGACTGAAAAAGGATAAAAATTAAAGAGACCCGATGACGTCATCGTTCGCCAAAAATCGATAACACTAGATATTTTTTGAAGGAGGAGCTTCTATGAAACTCATGATATCACTGTCAATAGTTGTCTTGACACTCCTGCAGTCCCTTAGTAGGGATAAATGGCCTTCTGAGAAACTCCCAGGCTTAGGTCGTAATTGCACAACCGTAGAATACCGTAATCAAAAACTCTCAAAATTACAATATCAATACGGTTTCTCAGCGAAATGAAAGGCTAAAACGTTGAGAAACGAGTTCAATCGTGCACCTCGAGTCCCCTAAAGATACCAGGAGCCGTAGGGCTTAAAAGGCGCTACATATGTACAAGAGAAAGATCTGACCTGCCAAACAGCAAAAAAGCGATGAACTGTCGGTATTGAACAACCAATAATCGAGTAGTTCTTCAACGTGGCCTTGGTTATGAGACCGCATTGACACTACTATGTTATAATACAATTTCGACAAAGGCGCCCCCCGAATGTACATAATCGGATTACGCCATGTCAACGTTATTTACATAGTATCACACATTGTCGGTGCGATCGCATGAGTTACAGGAAACAAGCGTCAAGTCAACAACACAACTACGCCACGTACTTGCTCTCTAGACCAAACTATATGTGTAATTGCAAGTCGGCTAAGGGGGAGGGGCATGGGGGGATTTGAAAGATCTCTTGCGTAAGAGTCAGATCATTGCAAAACCGCTCGTTGCAACAAGCAATCGGTCCAGTCACTCGGGAGATCGCTCCTTCACAAAATTCCTATCTCCTTCACGGCGATTTTCAAAGAGTCCTTGGAGTACACCCGCCCTTCCCCCTCTAGTACTGTCATTGCAATCAACGCCAGCAAACCAGAACTCCTTCATCTGGGACGTGAAAATTCGTTTCTAAAGGCGAAATGTGTAATGAGCACCCGCCTGGCGAGAACAAAACCTCTAGTCGTTCCAGTGGAACCGGCAATAAAACCATCTCAAATATTCTCGCCGATGAACACATCCCCGCAAGATCTATTGTCCCAGTGCAAGGTTATATTTCCTTCTCATGGACAAGAGCCACTCAACCAAGGTTACGTATACAGTGGGCAAACGTATCAATGCAACCACCCACCCACTCAAAAACCTTTTAGGTTAGAGCGTGGAGTAGCCGACTGTTAGAGACGCAGAAGCGGATATGGCATGGAAACGGATGGCGAAGCTCGGACTACGTCCTT